ATGTAGCTGGAAATTTAAAAAATATATAAATTTTTCATGTATGTAATCTTTTTTAAAAACATTGAGTTTTCTTAAATTTGAAAAAACTGTTGTCATATCAAAATTGTGAAACAAAAACTACTCCATTTTCTTAATTACATTTTAAGTTTGAACCGGCCAGTAAAGTTTCGGAATTAAATCGAATGATTTATTGCTCGGTTCTAGTTTTCTTGTTTTCCTCCAGTGTACTCTCGATATCGATCGAGTTTGTTCATTTGCGGAAATAACTTTGACGATTTTGTGTTTCATTTCGGTTTTATTTTCCTTTTTTTTTGTTTTTTGCGCACGAAGGTCGTGTGAGTTCGTTTCATTAAGAGGTGTGATGATGTTGATGACGACGAAAGAAGAGAGAGATTGATATTGAAAATCGGCGCATGGCGACTCGAGGAAGCTTAATCCCCAAATCCAACCCTATACTCCACACCGCGCCTCACAAAAAACCCCTCTTTAATTTTCGAATATAAAACGAACTTTTATGTTTATGACTTACTTGAGTCATTTTCACACCCCGGCCATAATTTCTTATGGTCTCCAAACCAATCTGAATCTCAGTACCGCACCGCAGCTCAATTGCCTTCTTCAATGCTAAATACTTATCGCTCGAACCTCCCATATATCTCTGACCAATTTAGATCTGGTGGACGGCTTTGTCGGTGGCTTTGGGACTGGATGTGCGGGGCGATATCATCAAGGGAGTGCCATGCATTAAGCGATATCATCAGCTGTTCTGCCCGACGGCCGGCAACAGTTATCCCATGTAAGTAGTAACTATTGTTCTCTATTTTTGGGATTTGGGAAATACCAAATGGAAATGGTATTTCCCTAGGAACAGTCGTAAAACTTTGATTATGACCACATTCTCTCGATTAACTCAAGGATGTTTGCATTTCTGTGGTTTTCTTTTACCTGACTTCTTCGCCGAAAATCTGATCTGAATCACATTTAATCCGACCGAATGTTCTAAAGTGACATAGTTAACTGTTCTCATTAGCATAGGCACGTAAAATTACTTTGAATTTCATCACTAGGCTTGGAGCTAAGCCAAAAAGTGTTAGAAAAGTTAGAGCCATTTTATTTATTCAAAAGTTCATTAACATCAAGTCGCAACGATCTGAGCTTAGCTTACCTATCTTTATGAAATTGACTAATCCATTTTCTTAATCAATTCAATCCACAAATATAAATATTAATCACTTTGGAGTGTGGTTTCTGACCTTATCTTATCACCTTTACGGCTCCACTCAAATTAGTTTATTTTGGCCAAATGATTATTGCTTTTCAAGATCAATGTGACTAGTGAATCACTGGGTTTGGCAAAGCATATTGGCGGAAGAATTTAATTTGAAATACAGTATGCAAGCATTATGGTTTAGTTACATAGAATAAATAAATTGTGCCTTATTTATCAATTCTAATTAACTTTTTTAATTTTAGTGATAAGATCGAACGCTTCATAGACGACAACAAGGCTCTGATGCGACGGATGTACGGAGATTTCGAGATGAACATGGAGGGTCCTGGCGGAGGAGGTGGTCGACAGCAGGCCAAGGTGCGAAAGCGTCGCTTCATAGACGAGCCGGATATATTTATTCCCCCCGGAGCATTTGCTGCCAACGCCGGTGAGACCGTCGAGGCCGGAGACAGCTATTTTGGCCAACTCCGGAAAAAACGACAGGCTGCCGCCGGCGGAAATCGAAATAGGGGCGGATCTGCCGGAGGAAGTGGCAATGGGAACACCAGTGCCAATAGGCCACCGGGGAATGGAAATGCTAATTCGGGCACTGGGAGACTTGATGCCTGCGAATCGAAGATTGAAATTGTCACACCCTATTGGGCTTCGAATTCGGCGGGAAAGATCAGGGCCATTGTAAATACACAACATTTCGAACAGGCCATTCATCAGGAGGTGTGCAGGTTAGTAATATATTAGATATTTATTTTTTCTTATTTCTTATTAAATTTCTAATTGTTTCTAGCAATACCCAAACGCCGCGATGCGAGGGCGAATGTGGATGCGAGCAGAAGTACAAATGGCATCGATTACTCGCCTACGATCCCGACAACGATTGCAAGGGCATTTTTATGGATTGGTTCCTGTTTCCTTCGTGCTGTGTCTGTAGATGTAATCCCTAGATCACCTGACTCTGAGCAATTAATTAATATACAGTTGATAAATGTAATTGAGACAAGTAATTGTAGGTAGAATGCCACTGAATGTATTTTAGTTGTTGTTAAGTAGACCTTATGTAAGACCTAATCGGTAGCTCTAGTTAAGATCGCCTCTACACATAGTTAAGGTTTTATACGAGCCATATGTATATCTCTCAATTTTCCGTTCTTCTTCTCTCCATCAACATGCGATATTACACAACCTCCATTTTTTGTTCTACGGTAATTGTAAATGTAATTGTAATACGATTCAAGTGAATAAAGTCTATGCAAATATTAAAAACGAAATTTGGGTTTTAAAACTCTGTATAGTAGCAATTCAATTAGCACATCAGCAATAGTTCAGAATATCACGTGAGCCCCTCATGAAAGTCAGGCAACAAATTGATATATTTACTTAACTTATATGGTTACCCTATTACCACTGCTTCAATGATTTATTTGGTACTCTATGGTGACAAAAATAAGGATTAGACCGTCAACGTCTTTATAAGTAGAACGGTCTCTTGGAATTCAAACTGGTTCTAGCTTCTCAAAGGGAGATTTACGAAATGCTTAAAGAAATAGCTTTAAAATAATAATTAATACGTAATAATAAAGTTTCTTTCCATTAAAAAAAATTTAAATAGGTATACTTATTTTAATAAATTTATTATAAACTTACTGCTATGTCCTGGATTCCATCGCCGTTGTAAGGTTACTAACCTTGATTTTGCATAATGCCTGATAACATTCTTTAAGATAGTCATATTTCCCAGTTTTAGATATAAAGTACTTTATGGGATTTTTGTCCAGTTGGGGTTGTTCAGTTCTATTACAGTTCTAATATTAACTAAGGTAACTGAGGGATCTATTAGTTCCAAAAATAAAATAAATAAACCGATTGAAATAAAATAAATATCCATTGAAATTTAATGCTATTTAACAAAAATCTAGTTTTCTATAAAAAAATAAACAGGCAGTTATATTCGGGCCTTGCCAAATAATACAGTAGACCAAATTTAAAATAATATAAGGTTAATTATCTCAATATGACCATTATCAAAGAGTAGAGATCTATTCATACTCTTTGCTGTTATAGAAAATGAATCAAATGTCGAGTAGTCAGATAAATCCCATGATTTATTAGCCCATATGACCGAAGGGGAAACCCCAAAGCAATTATTGACTTTTTGATAAATTCAACAATGAAGTCGCTAAGTTTGGAATGCTATAGTTAACTCAGCGAATATACAAACAAAAGTAAATAGATTGCAGTTATATATATAAAAAAAAGACAAAATGAAAAAAAGTATTTTGCATCGGCCGGGAATCGAACCCGGGCCGCCCGCGTGGCAGGCGAGCATTCTACCACTGAACCACCGATGCTTCTGAAGTTAGCTCACCAAAATTCCAGCTACAACTTTTCAGAAAACTTGAACAAGAGCTTTCGAGAGCTTTTGGACTAGGGCAACTCAAAGTAAATTTCATTTTCAGCCTGAAGTCATGGGTTCAATTCTATTCCATTCCATTGATTATTTTGTATTTTGGGTAATTGTTTTTTTTCGGTTTTCATAACATAACCAGAACGCAATGAGCATCCACAATTTTGGGCTGTTTCATAAAGCGTTTATATGCGAAGGGTCATAAATTAACCAGCAGCTGAAGGGGGGCGGATTGTGTGTATGAATGGTCATATTGCTACTAGTAAGAGAATTCCTCATCCAGCCGGGGTCGTAAAAACCCTTGCCCCCTAGCTGGCCCACTTCCCATGCCCGTCACGTATTCAATCACAGCAATGGCTACACAAAACTGCGCTATATCAAAAATTTCGGTCTATCGGTCGTGCGTGGTATACAAATGGTCCATTTCACCGACACCACAGATAGCCAGCCACATATACCCGCATGAACATATCCCAGCAGCGGAGGAGAAGACCATAACAATTGAGTGCTGGGCTCCAGTTAACGTTAACCGAAGTCGCAGCCCCGGGGACTGGGGCATTTATTGACGCCCGCAATGTCAACAATTGCAGCCATGACGACGGCAGTCGCAACGGCAAAGGCACTAACAACAAGTTCAAGTGAGGTAATTAAGTTCTCGAAATAAGTAATACCCTATAATCTACTCTTTTCAAACATTTGGAGATCAGATACAAAATCAAGGATCATTACCTAATTAAATTCAATAAATATCTTTCATTATGTAGTGCTATAAAATGATATTAAATTCTAAAATTCAAATCGATATTTAATATTGTAATAAATAGGTGAAGTCATTACCTTTAAAAAATCACACCAAACTAAATGAGGTGGAAGGCCAAAGATAGTATTTGTGTCACTTGATCACTCCTTCTCCCGATATTCCCTTTGGCTGCCCGAATACCCATTACCGCGATGACAAGAACAACCCACTAAAAACCCGCAGCGAGTTAACCATGAAAGTTGGCCAAGCGAAACCATTTCACCAGATGAAGCAGGCTGTTTGGGATGCTGGGCGTGCGGGGCGTATACGTATTATGATGATGACGCCCGAGAGCAGGACAATAGAAATGCGAGGCCACACAAACACAGCCTCAGCCGCAGCCACAGCATGTAAACGAGTGTGTGGTGACAATGATATGGATAGGATGTTGTTGGTCGGTACTTTCGTTGGCTTTTCCCGACGCTGCGCGCGCACTAAAAGTGAAATGGGAAAAGAGCTCGGCTTCGGAGACAGGACAAGCCAAAGGCTAATTCGAATTCCCCATAGGGGCGTAGCGCATTCGGAGGGCGGAATATCCGGGCCGTGGCGGAAAACGTCGGCGGCGTCCTGGCGTCATCTCCAAATCTCGGCCAGTGCCGCAATTTTGGCTATAAATACAAATGTCGGCACGCAGCTTGGCTTAAACTTACATTGTTATCCTAGTTCACAACATCGCTCGGGGTCTCTGTCTCTCCTTAACTGGGAACTTACCGAACAAAACACATTCGCTACGTGACGTTGTTAAGACGGAATCCTCGGAATACCCATCCACCCACTCAACGCAGGACAACTCCGAAACTCCGTCGAAAAACACAAACTGTGAGTCACAGCGGGCTGCAGGTGCAGATGTACCAGTTGCCTTCGCTTCTGGTTTCAGTGTCAGTGTCATAATCATAAATTTCGAGCATTGTGTAATCCTCTTTCGATTGGGTAAACAAACCAAGTGGCTCTGCTGCACTTTTATTATTACTGCGCAGCCAAGAAAACGCGAATTACATTTAAATTGAAATTTCCAAGGGGCACCACTTAAAGGGAGATATGAAAGAAGAAAATATCTGAGTGGCAAAAATGTGAGGGGAAAAGAAATAAAATAAATATTCAGTCAAATTATGTTTTACGCACAAGATTCTAAAGCTTTCTAAAAGAGGTTTTAAATTTTTGCTGTTGTATCTAAAAATCTGTGCCATTTTGATAGAATGAGAGTTATTTCAATATTATTATCTATTTCAAAAATCTTAGGCGATAAAAATCTTATAACATTTTTCCAAAAAGTATTATTCGGTTAATATTTTAAAAACAATTTAAAGATAATTCCCACTTTAATTACAAAAACAATCCTGATCTGGTTAAACAAAACAAGACTCAACAAATTAATAATAGATTCCCGAGAGATAAGCACAAGATAGCCTCCAGTCAAGATTTATGACTACATTTATAGAAATCCCAATGGATGACTCTCCTTCGGTCGTCAGAAATAATTTATCTGTTACTCGATTCCCAGCAATCTGTGTGTCTGTGCGATGCATTTCTGGTTTGTCTTTATTCCCACTGCGACCCCACCTTAAAAGCCATCACCATTGCCATGCCAATTACACATCCTGCGATTGTCTTCGACTTTTGCAAAGGGGTTCACACACTTTCCCCTCTCCTTGCAGCCCGGTGCCACGCCCAGTCGACTGCAGACACCAGAACGCCCCCCACCAGGAAAACTATGGGAGTGACAAGGAGGCCGGGGAGTGGATGTGGAAGTGGACACAGGTGGCTCTTGGTTTGGATGACGGTGCTGCTCCTGGTCGTCCCTCCGCATTTAGTCGACGGCCGTTACCTACCGACAAGGTCGCATGGCGACGATTTGGACAAGTTGCGTGAACTGATGCTGCAGGTGAGCAAAATCTACACTGGGAAAAAAAGGGATTAAACTGCGAATATTTTTAAAGAGGATATCTTATGGCTTTACTTAAAATTTTATTTATTACAACTTTGTTGACAATCTTATAAAGTTCCCTTAGAATAGGAAATAATTTTTTAAATTGCTATTAATGAAATTATTAATTACATCTAAATAATCCAAAGATGAATAAAACTTAAAAAGTAACGACCAGTTACAATAAATCGTATTCATGGGTAATCAAAAAGTATGCAACAACAAATTTGTTTTGAAAGACCCCCCACAAACAAATCCGGCAACTGATTGTAACATTTTGTAAAATTATTTTTTTTAATAGTGCCTTAAGAATAGGAATATATTATTTTTGTATTATTTTGAAATTCTGTCAAGCTTTTTAATTTGTATGTATGTTTTAGTTTAATAACAGCGTTGTTCCCATTAATAATTGTGTACATAATTACTCTTAAATGGTTCATGCCATAATTAATGGAGTGTCGAATTATGCTGTTATCATTTTACATTTATCATCAAGGCATTAATGAATCTCCGGGTTAAAATGATCCATTATTGACCATTTCTTCAGTGTATCTCAGTGAGTGCGCGATGGGTATCTTCAGCCGAGTTTTGTGCATTGGCATTTTTGGTGCGCTGTCAATATAATTAACTAAATGAAAAGAGAGCCAAAGCGTGGTATTAAGTTGCAATTATGTCGCCAATTATTGAGGTTTTATTTTCGACTTGTTTTTGTTTTCGTGCGTTTCTACCTTTTGGTTTTTTTGGCTTTTATATTTTGGTGTTTTGCTTTTGGTCACTTATGGAGTGGTGGAGTCGAGTGGAATTGAATGGAATGGAATGGAGGTTACGTCATCGTCTCGGCTATAAGGTTACACAGGTCCCTCGGCCACGGCCCCAGTGATTCCACCGAAGATTCCTGCTAACCGCACCACCTACCCCTTCCTTTTCCCTTTCTTGTTCCCATCTCCTGGCGCTGCGGTTTCTTGTGCGTCTGCAAACCATTTCAGAAATATTTTTACATATTTCGCAAGCGTTTCTTCTTCTGTTCCCCCCTTCCTCCCCCAATCGACGGAGGAGCCTGCTCGGCTACAATCGCCAACTTGGCCAACACTTGCATGCCGGGCACCTCATCTTTTGCACAATTTTTGATTCGCCGCCACCGCGGCAGTTGTTGTTATTTAATGTGTTTTTTTTCGGCACAGTTTCCTGTTCTTTTTCGCAACCAAGTCGCAAAAATGCGGCTCAGCTAGGAGGGTAGGAAGCAGGGGATCGGGGATCGGGGGTCACCAGGGGATTCGGCGAGGAAGCCCCACTTAGCTGCCTGTGGATGTGCAGAAATAATCCACTGCAGCTGCAGGTCTGCGAAAACTTCAGCCTACCAAATGCTCAACTGCAACTGTTTGCCTACTACAGAGTTGAGTATCTGTAGCAAACCATTTCGTCACTGGAAAAAATTATGAGGAATTTAATATATTTTTGTAAAACCGAAAACCAGAATATAAAAATGTATTTATTTTCTAAAGACCAATATGTTCAAAGAAATATTTCGAAGAAACCAAATAATAATTCTAAAAGTCAGATAAATTTCATAGCAAAAAGATTTCGACCGCCTAATCCAAATATTCATCACTCACTTGTAATTGATAGGCTATGATAGAGCAAATTTAATATTTAAGCAAAGATATTTCAAGAATTTCCGGTCTAGGTTTCTAGGTTGAATTTTTTCCCCAAATGTATGGTGCTCTCAACCCCTTTGCAGACTCTTTTCTGAGTCATGGTCCCTGCAAATCGATAAGTCGCTGACGTGCGGCGCAGACAAAGACCAAAGACGAAGAGCAGACCATGTTTGGACAAAAAAGCGAGCACAAAAATAAAGCACAGCTAAGAAAAAATAAAACCGAGCTAAAGAAAAGGGAAATCAAATGTCAAATAGCAAATAATGACGGTGACGTGGTCGCATTGCCGCTGATGAAGGTTGACTTGACTACGTCACTCTGAAGACAGGCGACAGCCGGGGGGAAAAGTAAGCAGAATGCGAAATGAAAACACTTGACACACAATAATGCATTGAACCTGAGAAGCTGAGAGCAACAGAAGCATTAGGGACATGAGACAACATAACTTGGCCTTTAGCTTATTGCCTTCTACGGGACGGATGTCAACAGGACGACACGACATCCACATCCACATCCCCTCGAACCTCCTTTTGCTTTTAGCCCGAGATGACAATGAAGTTGGAAGGAATTCCCAGAAGCAATTTGTGTTATAGAATGTGGAAAATGACAATTTCATAATGCTCTTGACTTATTAGAGATATATTGGATTATAATTGTGTCGCTTCAGGGGTTGCGAAATGGTACGTGGCTGAACTTTATAATTGTTTCAGGGGTTTGAAACTAATTTAAGGATGAACTTGAGCTTTTGATTCAATGTTAATTTAATAAAGCGATGGGGGGTTCTTAAACGTAATCCATTAAGCAGACAATTTAATGCGGTCAAAGTGGAGCTCAACTGAGTATGACAAAGTGACTTAAGTGAATTAAATTTCTTGAGCTTCTCGAACCAATTAGAAGGGGAAGCTTTTATTGGGATTTAAAGAAACAATTCAGGTATCCTTGGAGATAGAACAGGTTGGTGTGTTTATATTAAAGGAAGAAAGAGGGGAGGCAAAGGATTTCTGATTTAATTATTAAAGTTTTAATTTAAGATTTTACGAACAACAGACTAGTTATACACTTAGTAATCTACATTTAAATATTTGAATAAAATTTATAATGAATTTTGACACGACTACATTATTGTTTGACCTTTGTTCCTTAAGATTTATGTTCCATCGTAAAATGTAGAAGTTTGCCCTTCTCCATAACAATATTATGTCCGATTGATGGCAATTATTTTCAACATTCTTTTTCCACTTGCCACAAATGCCTTAGCCTACAAATCCCACCACTCATCAAGTGGCTCATTCCACTAAGCAGAAGTTGCCGAACCCAAAACAACCCATCTTCAACACCCAGAGATTCCCCTCGCACAAAACTAAGCCCAAACGCAGCTGTTTATTTATAAAGTATCTGCTAACTCCCTTTCCAATCGCCAAATCCAAATCCTGGTCAAAGGAGGGAAAGAGATCGATATAACAAAATAGACAGAGATGGCTGGGAAAGGGAGAGGGAAGCCAAACAAAATCACATAACTTTTCACTTAACGACAACTCTCAAATTAAACTGTCCAAAGAAACCTTAATGAAATGAAGGGAGATGAAACCCAGCTGACACCACCCCGCAACTCCTGGAAAATTCACCCTCCCCGGAGTCAACCAGATGCAATGCGATAACAATCCCAGAGTCATCATCACTTCCCTGTAGACCTCTTTACCATTAATGGCATTTAAGTCAAGGAAAGCGAAAGGAGGCAAATATCGCAAGCTGTCCGAAAATAGAAAACAATTTTGGTTTTTTTCAAAATTAGCAATAAAATAATTACTTGGCGCGAAATTGTTTTAGGTTTTTCGCTTCATTTGCTGTTGTTTGTGTTTGTTCACACATCATCACCAGCGTTGGCCAAAAAAAGAAGACAAAAGATGAGCTCCCGAGAGGCAAAAGCGGGAGGGATTACAGTGGTAGCCAGAAAAGAGGTTGGCGGCTGATAATTACACGACAATACCCCCCATTAACACATTTTCAGCTCATCAGAGCTCACAGCAGCGGAGATGAGGAGCCAAAAGTTGGCAGCCAAGTTAAGACGGTTCAAGACGGGTTAACCCATTTTGGTTGGCAGTTAAGACGGCTCGATAGATTCTCCGAATTTTTCAGATATCTTTGTTGTCTTAAATGTAGCTATATATTTTTTATTTACCCACTACTTATATGGCCTATTTAACTTTACAAATTCATAGATCATAAAAGCAAATCATAAATAAACCCATTACTTTTGTACAAGCTAACAATTTGTAGTGGTTTATTCTTTGGATATTTTTAAATTTTTAAACTTTTTATAACTTAGTAAATTAATTTTCAAACATTTAAAAAGTAGTTTTTACGAAAAAAAATAGTTGTCTTCTCAATAAATTATGTATGCATCATATAATCAAATTTTAAAAGTACTTATTTTTAATTTGATTTCTTAAAAAATATATATATAAATTTACAAATAAATTAGTTAGTTCTAAGAAAGTAAATATTTCCATGACAGCAACTGGTTACCAATGGGTTAAGCCAAGCAAACAACAGAAGCAGGCAGCCTCGTCGTTACAGATAAAGTTCATTCGATTTAATGATGCGCCAAAAAGAAAAATTAAAATTAACAAAAAAAGAAGAGATGACTAAAAATCTGTGACGAACTTCCCACGTTGGATAAATAAGATTTCAACAGATTTTTGAAATAACTCACTCCATCATCACAAGGCGGCTTGGCGGGGGGCCGAGTCGTGTTAACAACAGCAACTATACGATAATTATAACAACCATAACAACAGCTCGGAGTTTAAATCTTTCTCTGCCCGTCTTGCGTTTTGTGTTTGCAGATTTTGGAGTTGAGCAATGAGGACCCACAGCAGCAGCAGCCGCAGCAGCAGCAGCAACACCCACAGCTGCGTCTGCACAATGAGGCCACCAGAAGCGGCAGCAGCAGCAGCGGCAACATCAACAATCCACGCGTGTCCAACGGCAACTCTAATGCCGCCTGGCTGCAGAAACTGAGTGCCATGGGTGCCCTGGACGAGTTGGGCGGAGATGGACCTCGTTTTGGACCCAACTATGGACCGTACTAAGCCATCTGAACCGAAAACACCTGACGACAACACAACAACTACGACAAGGAAAACGGAAACTAGGGGTTGGGGAAAATCATGTTGCGAATGAAAATATTTTGGGACTGAAAATGGGGATACCAGTGTCGGAAATGTTCACAGGATTAAAATCCAATTGAGCCGGACGCAAAGTGCGTGAAAATGGACAAATAAATGGAGCAAAGGATTCTTGTGCAAATCGCTTTGAAGTACTTTGAATGAGCTCGTGCCATTTTGGAATGTATTGAAGGACACTCTGCAAAATCACTTTCAAAGGCTTGAGTCCTTTTATAAAATGACACTAAAGGGCCCTGTTTCATATGCAAAAGTTATTCACAATAATGTTTATTTGCCTTAACTCTCTTTTTTAATTAATTATTAATCACTAATGCATTTAAACAAAATTGTATTTTATCTATTTTTGGGTTTTTTTAAATGAATTCGTTTTTGGAAGCGGTTTCCTTAAATTTTAAGTAGTAATTCTTTAATGTACAGCTTTAAATGTACAGCTTTAACTTGTGTCTTAAAAACACAAATACTAACAAGTTTCTAGTGAATTTATATTTTCAACATGGTTTTCCCTTTATTCCGAATAGAAATACACTCAATGGTTTTAAATGCAAAAAGATAAACTGAAGGCAAATTCAGAAACAAACTGAAACTGGAAAACTCGAAAGGACAAATACAGTTCCTATGCTAGAACAATAATTTTTAAAATCCTTTGGGTAAACCCGAAGCGACAAATGTACCTATATGTATGTACCTATGTGTTGTAGAGCAACCCCGTCCCTCTGAAAAACTGAAACTCTGAAAAAGTACCCCATTAAAGGTCTAGACTAAGTGCGGATTTTCAACTTCTTTTTGCGCGGCCAAACAAGAGATAAAAATTAAAAGTACCATAAAATTGTAAATATATTTTACCCCCAAAACCCTCCACTCCCGCCCCACGAACAATAATAACTGGAGTTTTAATGGGCCCCCAAGGCTGACCGGGGCATATGAAGATATATAGTAAATGTATTGTGTATTTATAAATTATACTACTCCCAACTAACCTCCACTAGCTGCGATGGCCTCCGCTGGAAGATGGGCCCAAGCTTAATGCGATTTCGGTTGAGACTTTATGGCCAACAACGTGTCGAGGGAGATATATACTTATACACCCTATTAAATTCGTACCTATATATAAATGTACATTTAATTGTTGTTAACTTACGTTATCGTTATTACTTATGATTCGCCGCAGAAGCAACAATAAAAGAAATCATTTTCAATGCAAGATCCCTCTCTTAACTAGATCTCTGGGCGGCGATACAGTCAAGCCTGTTATGCAACGTATGCAGAGTGTAACGCAACTTTACAACGCTCTCGTCTCAGATTCATCTTCATCTTTTGGCTCAAATACCCAGGCATTTCACATCCATCTGCTTGAGGGCGCCGCCAGCCCAAAGATTCCCATCTATCTCAATTTACTTTCTCGTACTTCAAGTGCAACTCTCGACAAATTAAACGCCGAAAAGTGGCACCCACCAGAAAGACACATCACATCGGTTCGGATCTCCCCGAAAACCCCATTTCGATACGATCCAATACACCATTCCGAACCCATTCCCAATGTCAGTTCGAACCCGTTAAGTACTTTTTACCCGCCAAGTGCCGTTTCTCGTTTTGTAAACGAAATTATAATTGTTTTCTTCGCCTGTTTGTGTTTTTGTTTCTGTTTTTATGTAAATATAATATCATTTAAATGGTTCCGTCTGCCTTTGTTTTTGCCTGTTACATAAAGTCACAAGAGATACAATATAATAATTAGTATCTGTGCATGCCGAGGTGTAGATGGCAGCGAGTTGGTAGCTGGATTTTAAATGGTAGACGTGGGGGCATGTGTTTGGGGGAACTGTGTTACTCGGTTGAGGCCACGGAGAAAGCAGAAAGATGAATGGGTGAATGCGACGCTGATTATATGGCTCAGAATCGCTGTGGCATGGCGAATTCATTAAGATCTGGCAATGTGCCATGCATAATTCGCATAATGGCCAGCAGAATGTATCCCCCAGATGGGAGGTCTTCCCGGAATGCATAATGTATCTGCGGGACTTTGGTTGGCTGAATAATGTGAACGATATCTTAGTTGCGGAAATTTTTATCCAGCATTAAACGTACTTTAAATAAAAAATTCATTATTAAATTAAACTAAACTTATTAATCAAATTTTTAAGAATAAGATTACAATTACATCCAAGGTTTCTTGTAGTTTTATTTAGTGACCACCTCAATTATGTATAGAGAAAATACCTTTAAAAGTCACTTGTTTAATTATCAAACAGGGAGATTTAAATTAACTTTATGATATTTGTTAAGTGTGTTCATTTAATAATTAAAAAACCAATTTATTCCAAATCTTTGGCTGCCATAGGAAACATTTTTATGATTAAATTAACAGTGGGTAATTACTTTTTCGTTTTGGCTTATGCTTACCGGTTCAGAAACAAAAAAAGCTTTTACATTTTTTTTTCAACTCAGACTACCATTAAATTCTTCTTTTATGGTTCCAAAGACTTTATGTAATACCCATAATATAGATGCATTTGTTTTTAGTTGATGTAATAAAATAATTTTTGTATTTCATCAACTTTCAAAATGCAATTCCTTTGGAACTTGAATTTCCTTAATTTCTTCAGATGGAAATAATGGGTCAAGGGTTGGCCTAGGAAAATATCTTGCAGATATTTGCATGGGGAAATCACGTGCAATTGCTCTAGGACGCCGAATAACCACAGATGAACCTGCACCTGTTCCACCTTCGTGAATTCAGCATAATTTACCGCGACCAACGAATGATAATGATGACGATGGTTTTGAATGTGAAAGATGAGCGTGGAAAATTAAGGAAATGCAATCCGTGGAGAGGGGAGCAAGTGCAGCCGCCGAAGATGAACAACAAAATCAACACAACCTGCCATTTGGCTAACGGCATTATAAATGATGCCATCGAGGAAAAGTGACAGTCTCTGCTGACTACAGTTGAATCTCTCAACTGTTGCAGGCTGCAGTTGCAGTTGCAATACTGCTGCTGCCGCCGGGTATGTTGTCGCAGTCGCCATTTGGTGTCGTCCTCCGTTTGGCGCCACTGGCCACTGATTATGCCATTTCATCAAATTCCGGCAGCGATTGAGTGGAGCGCAGGTGTGGCCGCAAAATGCGACCAAGGATCGTTCGCAATCGATGCAAAAATGCTGATTGCCATTTATAGATTATGTGCATAAATCAGGGAAAGAGCAAGACATCATAGCTCTGGGGGTTATGAGCCATGGAAAAGTTGCAAAACATTTTGCCAATCATAATTTTTTCCATCAGTCTTCTCTAACGCAAATTGTCATGGCCGGGGCGTAAATTATTAAATAAGAAAAACAGCCCAAAAACAACACTAAAACACGGCAGAGAAAAAAAAAAACAAATTTAAGAAATTCCAAAAAATATTGCAAAAACAACTATAAACAAAAAAAGAGGAGAAAAATTAAATAAAATGCTTATGCAGATGGGGCGACCCAACAAGAGCGTGAAGCTTCGTGGCCAAAACGCGGACAGCAATTACAAAGGCAACAAAACCAGTAAAAACAATAACAGTAACAATAATAATAACAACAAGCCAGGCCAAGTCAAGACAAGACAACCCAACACAACCCGAAAGACAGAAAGAAGCTGGCTAACAAAAGGCCGAAAGAGCATGAAGAAATGAAATAAAACCAACACCAGATTCAGTCCCACTCCAGAGCACAAAGCTATCCCCCATCCCATCCCATCCCATCCCAAAGCAGCCCATTCCCCGAATCGCCGACTAAATGAGAGTGAATCCACATCCATTGAAACTGAAAGTGAATCGTGCCACACGATCCGATCCGATACGATCCGATTCAGAGTCCAGAGTTGGTTACGAGTCCACTGCGATTGGATCCTCCAAATGACCAAAATAACAATTTATACACATAAACCACATATATATAATAATGCAATAAGAAAATCAAAAATGAGAAAAGCAGGAAAGGCCTTGTTTTTTGGCTATCAGCTCGAAAGAGAAATACTCTAAAAGGAATGTTTATGAATATTTTAATTGTTTGATTAAATCAAGAATTTGAAATCACCCTAATAATGAGCTTTAGAATGAAGAAATACAATTTATTTAAATATTATTCTAAAAGGCATTACATGTATAAATTGCAGAGTTCTTCTTTTAATATAATCAACACTACAAATCCAAAAAAAAGTTCTTATTAGTTCACTGTGGATGCTAGTAACCTTTTATAACTTATTGGTATTTACAAATAATAAAGGAAAAAATAAATACATTTTTTTAGATGCGTAAGTTTATGAAAAACACTTGGAAAATACAATCTTAATTGTATTATCTTTATAACGTAAGTTCAAAAAACTTAATTGAATTCAAATAAACATTCAGATTTAAATGCAAGTATCTTTTTTAGTACCTGTATTTATTTTTATTTTGTGTAGTTTTTATTTATTTGTACTAAAATTACATTATGTGATTTTTTAATTGAACATGCTTACTATAAACTAATATCAAGACATTTTGTTTTATATTATGCATATATCTTTTAATGCCCACCATAAAATCTTTTATTTCCTTCCCTTGAAAATAATTGACCCTTAAACTAAAACTTATGTTTATAACAGCTGAAATAACTACCGAATAAACATATTTGATGGCCTTGCTGAAATTTTATCTCCTGCCTCCAGCTTAATTGTGTATACAATGTACCTTTCAAGTTCCTTATTTTCCCCTTGAAAATAATCCTAGTTGCCCCGAAAAAGAAAAAATGCCTGACCACACGAATAAAAAACCACGAAAAAGAAGTAGTTAAAGTTAACCGAAGGAGGAAAAACCAAAAGCCAAGAAATGGTCAGCAGGCGCTGCAGTTTCAGCCGCAGTCTGCGTCGCAGCCAGGAGCTGCAGCCTCGGTTTCCCCACCAGATCATGACTGGCCAACTGCGGCTGGGACTGTGGACTTGGCTTAAACATTTCAATTTCTTCATGGCTATATGCCGCTGCCGCTCTTTGCCAACTGCTCAGCCAGCTGCTCGGTCGACTGAGGCAGCAGCCGAAGCAGCAGCAACAGCGGTCTTGGTCGTCGTCTTGAATTTTACTTAATTTTTATTTCACGCGCTGCGCCGCTATAAAAGAAACTGCAACAATCGTTGTGGCATGCAGTAAGAGGTTCCGCGTCGAAGCAGCACCACATTACCAGTAACCAGTAGCACCGAACCACCTGGAGCAGTGACAAAACCCGAAACGGATATAGCCGAAAATAAAGCCCCCGAAAATGCAGTCCAGTTGTGTGGTATGATCATGTGACCGAGCGAGCTCCCAAGTTTCCGTGATAATGGTGTGTTCTCCTCCTCCGATCTCGTCCGCAGTTAGTGGTCGTCTTAGCCTTGGCTGCCCTGGTGGCCGCTCGTCCCGAGCCGCCGCGTGACTCGTACAGTGCGCCCCCCTCCAGCAGCTACCAGCCGAGCGGACCCAGCGGCGGCTACGGCGCCCCAGCTCCCCAGTACGGACCCCCCCAGCAGCCGCCGGTGGTCCACAAGCACGTCTACGTCCATGTCCCGCCACCAGAGCCGGAGTACCAGGCACCCAGGTGAGTCCAAGGATCGGATATCCTGTAGTCAGTAATATGAGGATGGCTGTAACTATATATACCCTAGAATCTTCTAAAATTATACCAAAAAGTAGAAGTGCTTAATGCGCTTATAAGTTAAATATTTCCCAAATTATAAGAATTTGTTTCATCACAATTTTTAGACTTTATAAAGAAAACCTTAAATTTATTATAAAACTTCTAAATTTATTTTTGGAAATTTTAAAATAATACTCTTTTTGTCTTTCTTAACCAACTATTTAATAGTGCCATAAAAACAAAAATATCTTGGATATTATAATACAATAATACATACGAATACAATAATTGACTTTTAAGAAAGTATTTGCAACTTAGTTTCTACAATATATGTATTCGAATATAATATGGCTAATACAGTCTGTTCAATCTCAAGACGTCCTTTTAAGGTCAGAAAGCTAAGCGTTTTTTAATAAATATGCATAATGAACCATTCATTTGAAATTGTGAATCTTAAGGCAGCTCAAGAAATCCCTTTCCAATAATTTGTTTAGGAACTTGAGATTGCTCATTCTTCTATCCCACATCAAAATCAGTTCAAATTATTCACACAACCCATCAGTGGTGATCCCTTTCCATTTTTCTGCATCTCGCGTGATGGGGAGCGATTACAAATGATCTCGCTTTATTTGTCTTGTTCCACTTAAGATTGGCAAACAAAATGAGCGAAAACACATTGTTGTGTTATGAGTATATAATCCACGCCATTTATGCAGATTCTCTCACAATTCATCGCCGTAAACCAACTAGTGCCGCCAACTCCCAAAGATAATAACTAGACAAATGTTGCAAGACCCGCCGCCAATCATCTAATCCGGCTCAGGGCCCTTTGCCGCCGCACAGCTGTTGCCTCATTTCCAGGGTATTTAGAGGGTCGTTTGCAAGGAGGAAAATTATTTAATACCCGAGAAAACGAAAGCCATCCAACTTTTCTCTCTTTTCTCTGATTCAATGTTTTCTGTCGTCTTCTGCCTGTTTTCAATTGGAGTTGGAAGCAATGTTAATTACCCCGAGGGGGGAATGATATGGCTTTGCAGACCGCCAAACCGTGACTAAAATGTTACCTAAGCTCTCCCCGAGTACTTTTTTATATATCTCAGTCGCATTTCCAAGCTAATTATCAGAAGACGCGGAGGGACAGGAGCGTGATTACCATAGGGAGTTTTATGTAAACCCTCATCTTGAGGTCGTTGTTGTGACAGTCGTTGTCATCGTCACAATGGCCATCGTCTTCATCTGATTAGCCAAAACGACAAGCAGCTGCTGCACCTGGCTCACCATTTTTGGGAGGTCACCATTTATGGTCTTGACATTTGCATACTCCTCGAGGGGAAACTCCTTTCTCCAGCTTTCCTGCTTTTTTCGTGCAGATATGCCAAATTATAGGAAATGTGGTAAACAATTATGTCTGTGTAAATTGTAGGTAAACGGAAGTTGCATTAGTCCTGTAAAAACCGTACAGGTTACCACAAATTGTCTTATATCATAAGATCGATATTAGATTCTTCAACTAGAGATTCCTAAAATATTTATTATTATTTTCAATCAATTAAAACCCGGTATTTCCATTATTTTCACTAGGAAACCCCTGTACGTGCCGCCTCCACAGAAGCACTACAAGATCGTGTTCATCAAGGCCCCATCCCCACCTGCCCCGACCGCCCCAGTAATCCCGCAGTTCCCGCAGAACGAGGAGAAGACGCTGGTGTACGTGCTAGTCAAGAAGCCGGAGGAGCAGCCCGAGATCATCATCCCGACGCCGGCTCCCACCCAGCCCAGCAAGCCGGAGGTGTACTTCATCCGCTACAAGACCCAGAAGGAGGAGACTGGACCCTATCCCAACAGCGTGGCGCCTCCAGCCCCCGAGTACGGAGCTCCAGCTGCCCCTCCCGCCCCCTCTGCGCCCAGCAGCTCGTATGGAGCACCTTCCCACTAAGCGATCCCACGCATCCAATCCAACCCGAATTCCGATTTGCGAATCTCAACCCAACTCATGGCACACTGCATATCTTATGTGTATTATTTTTTGTTCTGTTTCAACGACTTTAACGCGTGACAAAGTTTACCAAGCAACGAAAACCCCTCATCTCCCCCCCAGCTCATATGAATATTACCCCTGTCGATGAGTAATACTTACCTCTGAAGTTGTTTCTACCTATTGTACGAGAAGTATGTTTTCCATCTAGGCTGTTTGTTTCAAATTGTTTGTTTAGTCTTAAGATTAGGTCTTTAAGCGAACGATGCGTTATACACTCACACAAAACACTCGATACACTCACTGCGAACTAGCCTTAGTTATCGATAGAGATATCGATGCCGATACCGAATAACGATATATACATGATACATTTTCATCGCAAATGCATTTTCAACTAGGCAATATTGCACCTTTGCACACTATTTCCATCATTGTAAATAGAGAGTGCGAAACGATCGAAAAGGCAACAAAAAAAACGAAGATAATAATGATACTCAAGTATGTATATGTTAGAAAACAAAACATCAATGGCTAAATAAAAGTTTAACGAATTATCTGTATTAAATTGTTTTTTATTCTACATATTATAAACCATAAATTCTTAAAATTTTGTATTTTTAATCCTCTGCCTCGCAAATGAAATTGTGTTTTCCGCTACAAGAATCAACCCACATGCCACCGTTATTAACAGTAACGCAACGTTGACTTATATGGTCGTATTTGGGTTCACCCGGTTTCCATTTCAAGAAAGGAGCTCTATTTCCAGAGGACACAGATATAAAGACGCCCTTTTCGGCCAAATCGTTGATGCCCAGCGTGTAACTAATATCCCTTTTCAGTTGCGCAGAAATGGCATTGAACTCCTCTTCACTTTTAATAGAAGCCAGATGACCTCCCAACAGCTTACAGGTGTTTATAGCACTGGTCCAATTTTGTTGAAGGTTGTGCTCGATGTAAAAGAATCTAGAGCCGATCCTGTTGAATCTTAGCAACATGATTTTCCTATTGAGTTGGGAAAGGGCATCCATCATCGCACTTTGTTGGCTTTCAATCTTGACCTGTAGAGCCTGCAGTTGTTCTTCAGACTGGTTTTTTACAACTTTCAGTTGGTCTTCTATTTTACTTAATTTAGCCTCGGTTTCATTTAATTTGAGATTGCAAGTGCTCCACTGGTTTTGGTTCTTGGCAATGTAACCGATCAATGGCATCAGTGTTGTAAGGCAGAAGTCACCACATTGATGCGGAGGATCCTGCAATAGGCACACGGATCGACCTGCAACCTCGGATCCTGACAAGGATACGTTAATGAATATTACAATAAATGCGTAGAATAATAAAGTTTTTGGCTGGAACATGCTTGAAAAATTAAACTTCTATGAACGATGGTTGAAAATACACTAATTCTGCACCCACTTAGTGACTTGCGAAGATAAGTGCATTATTATTGATAAGAACGGGTTTTTTAATACATTTTGCAAACATTCTCTTTTTACTTTATTTATATTTAACTACCTTCTGCATTTGATAAGAAAGATACAAATGATTTATAACTATCTTCTGAGTCATATCCGGTGGAGAACGACTCGTCGAGTCAATTTAGACATGTCCGTCCAGTTATACGCAAACTAATCTTTTAGCCATAAAGCTATTTACGTGAATCTTTCCCAGAAGACTTCTTTATATTGTAGGTAATATATAATTATGTTCTAGTTTACCATTAGGGTTTTGAATTTTTGTAATAATTAAAAAGTAAAAGAAAAACTATATAGATTTGCTTTCTTCAAAACTTTTAATCTGCTGCCTCGCAAATGAAATTGTGAGCGGCACTACAACCGTCCACCCACATGGCACCATTATGCACAGAAACGCAGCGCTGGTCTACGTGATCGTATTTGGGTTCACCCGTTTTCCATTTCAAGAAAGGAGCTTTTTTTCCAGAGGACACAGATATAAAAACGCCCTTTTCGGCCAGGTCGTTTATGCCCACTTTATAACTAGTGTCCTTATTGAGTTTCGAAGTGATGGCGTTGAACTCCTCTTCATTTTTAATGGATGCTAGATTTCCTCCCATCAGTTTGCAGGTGTTTGAAGAACTGGTCCAATTTTGTTTAAGGTTGTGCTCGATGTAAAAGAACCTTTGTCCAACCCTGTCGAATTTAATTAATGTGATTTTCCTATTGATTTGAGAAAGGCTTTCCATCACGGCACTTTGTTGGCTCTCCATCTTCACCTGTAGAGCCTGCAGTTGTTTTTCTGACTTTATTTTTACCGCAGTCAGCTGTTCCTCTATTTTGGCCAATTTCGCCTCGGTCTCGTTTAGTTTGAGATTACAGGTGCTCCACTGTTCCTGGTGCTTGGCAATGTGGTCGATAAGAGGCATTAGCGCTGTGAGACAGAATTCCCCACATTGATTTGGCGGATCCTTTAATAAGCACACGAATTGGCTAGTATCCTTGTATCCCGATAAAGATACATTAGGAAGTATTGCAATAGATGCGAAGAAAAATAAAGTTCTCAACTTGAACATGCTTAGAGAGTTAAGTTAAACCGCAAGAGAGGAAAGTTTAAAATACACTGACTCCGGGTGCACTTGCTGGCTTGCAAAGGGAATAAATATTTATTTATATTATTTACAACAATTGATATGGGAAATTACTCGGCAGCGGATATGACTCAAAAGATAAGTCGTTTGTGTTTCACAAAGTTTCTTAATGCAAATCAATCTTTTTGGATACAATTTATCAATTTTTGTTTTTTTATTTGTAAATTATATAACTATAAGATATTAAACATTTATATTTTCCATATTTGGCGTTCATTTCGAATCCAGTTTCAAACTGTAACGCTTTTGGCGCTGCCACCTGATACCCATCCGCTAGATGGCGCCCTCAAGTAACTATAAAACTATTGAGAAAAGTGCTTCCCAAACTGTTTATCTCCTTTCACTCGACTTAAGCTTCGTTTCGTTTGTTTGTTTTGCTTTTTGGCGCTTGGATTACATAAAATTTGATTTGCCCGATGCGGAAAAAGGCTTTTCACGGAATTTCCCTCAAGTTTTATGATAATTAGTAACGAAGCACTTTAACGGCGGATTGGATTACCGGCGTTTTCCTGCAGCTACCTTAATAGCAATCAGCCTGGGCCCCTTTAATTGAGCCGTTGCCGTTGTCCACTTGGTTAAAAAAAAATTGAAAATAAAGGTAAAGGTAAATCCGGACAATCCCCATCCCTTTCCATGTACACATGCTTTTAAATACAAACACACACTCAACAGCTCCTTCACGAGCCTGCCAAATGTAAGCGAACTTAAAAACACATCGTTTGCATTTGGCCCCCTCTCCAAACCCCTCCCACCGCCCACTCCGCCCCTGGAAACCCAACCCCCCTCCATCAGCAGGAACTCCAAGCGGCACTTAAGTGACGCTCCAGCAGCTCAACTATCACCGTGTTCGTGTGTGCTTTCTTATTCTTTTTATTCCAGGTACTCACTCTGAATAAAGGTATATTGTATTTGTGCTATTGGATCTTGAAATGCCGTAAAAGTTATAGTTGTCATTTTCGATGTGGAGACTTATGCGATGACCCTGCATTTTTGATCATTTATCATTTTTTATCATTTTAAATTTACATAATTATAACCTTGAATATTTGTACCTGTATTTATACAATTGTCATTTCAATTACGATTAGTGCTTAAGCCTTGAAAATGTTTGGGAATAGAGGGAATAGATTCCAGGCCTATTTTAACATGCTTACAATTTATTTATTAAAAACAAAGTTAATATTTAACCAAATTCTATACCGAATTTAAATTTCAAAACATTTTAATTGTGTGTTGGTTTTATTTTTTAAACACTATACATAGATCTTGATTTCCTTATCTTCAAACAATTTTGATATAAGCTAAAGATATAAAATATTAATACCTATTAGGATAAATCCATCAATAAATCTTCTTAAAACCTTTTAAAATATCAAATATAAAATATTTATCAAAATTTATATTTAATTCAATCTAATGCTTTATTAGATTTTTAATCTAAAATTGTAAAATCGCCAGACTATGTACATTTTATTGTAGGAAAAAGACGGGGTATCATTCCATTTTTGATGTGTCTACAATATAAACATCATTTACGCTGTTCCTTTTGTTTTAGCCTCGCTGATTTTGTTTACCTGAGCCTCAAAGCTGTCGATGGCCAAAAGGAAGAGATTTTCCGGAAGAGAGCGAAAGAGTGAAAGTCCGACCACCCTTGAGGTCAGGATTTGGGGCATTGCCATCGGTCATCGGTCGCTCGCTCTTATTTTCTGGCACGCCTGCGCCGCGGAGAGGCGGAAAACTCTTGGGAAATTCAAGCCCAAGACGAAGACCGATTCCGAAACCGAAACCAAAAACCCGACTTCAGTTGCCATTGTAATGCCAACGCAGTCGGCACGCGTTTGGCTTTCTCGCCTCGCGGGTTCTTTATTTATTATTCGCTGAAGTGACAAGCCAACAAGAAAAACAACAAAAGTCGAAGAGCAGAGAATCGGGGAAAATCCCAGTGTGTTGGATAAAGTATAAATCATGTGCGAGGAAATCAAGGCAATTCGGAAAGTCGAAGGAGTTGAGCCAAAGATGAAATCAACAGCGAGAAATTGCCAGTCATAAAAAAAGGGTTTGTGTTTGTTCCTGTTTCGTGAGTGTTGTTTGCGTGCGTGTGTGTGTTGTGCCAAAAGGGAAATCCCTTAACCCTCCGGCCCCCCCAGAACCCTTAACCCCTGACTTCAGCTAGACTCCCCTATTGTGCGTTGTGTACAATTAGAAGGCATTGCCAATCGATTTGTGTGAAAAGCCAAAGCTAAAACTCAAAAGGTGGACGACGCCAATCCTGGAATAAAAAAACGGAGCCCGGGAGGGCAAAAAGCAAAGGAAATACCCATATAAAAGAATGGAAAGGCAACCAAAGAAGTTCCCTTTAGTTGGCAGGTGCGCGTAGTCTGAAAAATGAAGTTGAACCGACCCGAAGTTGTTGCCTGTCATTCAAAGGGAATGGCAATATAGAAGAGGCCAAAATGGAGTGGGCAGCTATGAGCTATGAGGTGGGGATGGAGATGGGGAAGTAGGACTGGGAATCGGGGGACAATATTAATGAAAGACGTTGCAAAAATGTCACGTTTCCCCAGTCAAATTGAAATAATAATGAAGGCATTGAAGAAATGTCACGGCCCGCGACTGACAAATAAAAGGAAAAAGTCCAATGGAATTTGCATGAATATCTCAAAAATAAAGTTGAACATAACAAGTAAAGTTGATAATGCCAGTGATATAAAACATAACAAGCTTGATAAGAGACAGGTCTTCATGTAATCCTCACATTCCGAGGGGGAACTCACATCTAACATTAAAAAAAAGTTTGAGTGACACGACAAAGAAAGACCATTACCAAAGAACACTTTTGAAGACATTAAGCAAACTCCTTGGGGGGAAAAAATAATTCATAAATAATTAAATAAAACAATTTAATTAAAATTAATATTTAATAATATAATTCTACAATAATAATACTCTGATGCAGATATAAAAAAGATTTTAAAAATTAACATCAAGAATAAACATAAATTTCTTAGATGCTTTACATAAATACAATCTTCAAAAATAATAATGTTTAATCATTTTAAGTGCAACTAAAAAAGGTTCGAAACTGGAATAACAAAATTGATAAAATGTATTTTAGGTAATAAACAATTTCCAAACTTTTTATAACTCCAACAAATAATTGAAAATGGTTAAAAGTTTAAGCTTCAAACTTTTAATAGCCAAAAAGAACTTAAAAATATGCACAACAACTTTTCAAATAGAATTAAACGGATGTGAAATACGACTGTCCCCAAAGAATACTTGAGAGACAGCGAAGCGCATAATTTGGCAGTATAAAAACCAAAGCAAATTCAACATAAATTTGATTTTATGCACAACATGCTACAAGTGAATAAAACACGAGCTTAGTGACAGTGACAGTGCGAGCGTGATAGTGATGATAGTACAGTGAGGCATATGCCCAATAAACAGATGGCCCATAACCATAAACCGAAAGTGTTATGGCCATTACCGAAGGACCCTTCCCGGCAGCGGCACCAAATAACTTATGCCCATCGGCCCGAACCGAAATCGCAATTTATGACAGGCCCGGCAACTATTTAAAGAACCATAAAACCCTCAGAAAACAAACAAAGTTTATGGGGAGTGACGATTGCATTTTAAGATCCCCGCCATAAAACAAAAGCCAGGATTTGGGCCCCTTATTAACTCCCAATTTTATTCGTTCCCCTTCCCCCAAAAAAGGAAACACAAGTGCTTCCAGCAATAAACTTCCACCGCCAACTGTGGCAACCAATAATCAAGGAACCATGGCCGCTAGTACGTCGAATATGTCCCGGAACGGGGGCTTCTGTGGTGCACTGCAGCGCGCCCCGCCGCCCATGCCGCCGACCCTCATCCGCCGCCTCAGCAGCCGCGAGTGCTACGGCGTGGGCAAGGTGAAGGTCATGCTGCGGGTGGCGGAGCGGGACAGGAACTCCGCCGGAACAGAGCCGGACTTTATGGCCCTGGACAAGAAGAAGCGACAGGTCACGCTCACCGATCCGAGGAACGCGTGTCCTGCGCCGCAGGCTGCCCAGGAACGCGGACCCATGGTGGCCGCACCCAAAATGTTTGCATTCGACCACCTCTTCACCGCGGAGGATAAACAGGTGAGTTTCGTATAAAAATGGGACGCCAATTAAGTCTATTTAAGATTTGTTTTTTTGTTATAAAAATATTTATGCAGATATGTGGTCTTTTCAATTTTTTTTAAGTATTGCGGAGATATTCTTTCCCACTTTCACCCAAAAGTTTTTTATATTCCAAATGAAAGTTGGAAATATTGTTATTTTGATTGATTTTTTCCCTTGTATTTCGGTACAAATAGTGAAGTACCTACTGATAGTAGGCTACAATAGATAAAGGAAAATTTAGTTAACTATAGTTATATAGCTATATAACAATATATGTTTTTTTTTTTTAAGAAGACTTCAGACTGTCTGATTTTCCAAATGTATTCTGTTTAATGTTTATCAGAAATAAATAATTGACCAAATCTTTATTAATTCATATTTTAAAGAATTGTATATAACTGAGACTTGTTTTTGTGTATTTAGAAAAACATTTAAATAATTAATCAGCAGCAAAGTCAAAACAAAACAACCGTTACTATGTAAAACAAATATTAGATTGGTTACTGTTGACATTAAGTATCATGTTTATGCACAAGAACAATATAAAAGTGGTAAATAAACAATATAAACGTCTATTAAGTGTAAATTACTAACTAGACTCTCAGTTGGCATAAAAACAAACAT